CACACACACACACACACACACACAGAGAGAGAGAGAGAGAGAGAGAGAGAGAGAGAGAGAGAGAGAGAGAGAGAGAAACTCAACTAACAAGAAATCAAACAAGCCAATTAAAAATTTAGGAATGGAACTAAACATGGAGTCCTCAAAAAAAGAAAATACAAAAGTCTGAGAATTTTTTTTAAAGGTGTTCAAAATCATTAGCCACTAAGGAAATGCAAATTAAAACTTTTGGGGGATTTTATCCTACCCAAGTCAAACTGATGAAGATCAAAAGAGAACAATGACAGCAACTGCTGGTGTAGATATATGGAAAGTGGAACACCTATTCACTTCTGATGGGAGTGCAAATTGGTACAGCCACTGTGGAACTCAGTGTGAGGTTCCTCAAAAAGTTAGAAAAAAATTCACTGTATGGTTCAGTTATACCACTCCTGAGTATATTCCCAAAGGAGTCTATATCTTACCATAGAGACAATTCTACATCCTCCTTCCTTGCTGCTCTTTATTCATAATACCAAGTGGAAACAGCCTAGTTAGTTGTCCTTCCACTGATGAATGGATAAGAAAAATGTGGCACAGGTACATAATGGAGTACACTTCAGCTGTAAAGCAAAATTAAATTCACAGAAAAAATAATGGAGCTAGAAATAATCATTCTGAGTGAGGTAATGAGAAAGACAAACACTGCTTGCTCTCTTTCATATATGGATGCTAGCTTTGAGTATTTAAATATGTGTGTTTAAATAGGAGTACATATAGAAGTTCGGTAACTAGTAAGGGAACATGGAGGTGGATTTCAAAGGACAGGGACTAGAACACAGTTGGTAAAAAGTAGGGAAATGAAATACTGGAACAGAAAGGGTTAAATGGGTGGGGAATAAGAGGGAAGAGTAGAGGAAGAGAATGAGAGTCATAACTAACATTAAAGACCTCTGAAAAAAGATTAAAACCTAATTCTGTAAAAGCTTCCTAAATATACACATATATACAGATATAGAAGGAGTTTAAAGAGAATAATCCCACAACAGAGGAGCAAGAAAGGGGCAAGGGGGACGCATTCTCTCCACAGGTTTTCAACTAAAAAGCTCAGTGCCAGGTATGACTTACTTCTTTTGGAGCTTTTGGTCCATGGGTTCCCATAGGATACCCCTGCCCCAACCAAACATTACAGTTTATTGTCTTTGCTCTTGATCACATCCAAGCATTGGATAGTATGACCTTATTGCTAAAGACACCACATAGTCAAGTCAGAGGACATAGAAAAACCATTCTAGTACTGACTTGGAAGCTTCATTCCTACTGACTAACTTTCAAAGTGCTGGAAGGTTCCATGCATGCTGCTTGAACAGGGGTTGGAGTGAGGAGAAAGTCATCAACAGCCTTATCAAGTTGTGGACACAGCAAGTACAATAATGACTGCCCCAGCAAGATGTGCCCACAGGTATATCTATGCTATGGGAGAAAACAGCCACTTTCTAAATGGATTTAAGGTCTGCTCCTCAAGATCAAATCCATGCCTAGGACTATTAACTGGACAAAATCCCATGGCCTACCAGGTCAGAGGCCTTAGAGGAGAAGTAATAATAATAAAAATGTTATTTGTGCTAAACAGAGACACTACTAAATGGCCTCTAAGTCCTTATCTTTATATCCATAGATGAGTCGATCTCTCTACTCTTATTAGAGAAGCTTCCCCCTGCCCCATTAGATGGTGGTTAATCCAGAGACCCATAACTGGTCAACATGCAGAGAATAAGAGAGTTGGGAGTGTTCTGCTTTAAACTGAATAACCTCTAGTCCCAAGGTTGAAGATGGGGCAGAAAGATTCTAAGAGCCATAAGCAGTGGATGCCTGCAGGGAAACAGTGTTTGATGGCCTTGACGGGACTTTTGCTCCCATGAAATCATCACACTTGTGGCTGCATGCACAAGGTCTGTATAAGATCAAGTCTTCCAGTTTTCTAGAATGAGTGGGAGAGGGATCATTAAGTCCCCCAACTAGCTGAGGAGCAATTGCCAGTTAATGGTTGCTAGGGGAGGCAAAGTTAGTCGTCTTTAGGGACGTGGACCATGAGAAGCTGCCCAGGCTCCAATGGATGGTCCAAATCCCATGTACATACTGGACTCAGTGGGTTTAAAAAAGAGCAAATGAAATTGGGAGGCAGAAGTAGTAGCGGAGTAGGAAAGAGGTTGTGTTGCAAAATATTTGTTTAACTGTGTAAAGATATGTTACTGTTTTATCCTGTCTGTCAAAGGCACCTGATTGGTCTAATAAATAGGTGAACAGTCAATAGCAAGGGAGGAGGCATAGGCTCCTAGGACTTCTGGGCAGAGAGAGTAAGGAGGAGGAGGAATTTCATCTTGGGGAAGAAAGAAGCAGAGATCCCAGGGGCCAGGCAGGCAGGCATGGAGTTAGCAGAAAAGTAAAACATACAGAATGAAAGAAAGGTAAAACACTCTGAGGCAAAACATAGATGAAGAGAAACAGGTTAAATTAAGTTAAAAGAGCTAGTGGGACAAGCCTAAGCTAAGGCCGAGCATTCATAATAGCAAGTCTCTGTGTCTTTATTTGGGAGTTGGTTGGCAGCTGAAAGAAAATGCCAACTACAGAGTTGGAGGGAAGGAGATAGAGGATAGGTTTGTTCAAAACATATTATGTGCATATATGAAATTCTTGAATAATAAAAGGTAAAAAGCCATGTGTGTTTTATAACTGTGTCACCATTTTTAAAAATTGTTTTACAGTTATTCTCAGTAACTAGAATTAGCTAACAAATTTAATTTCCACTTAGAATGCTGCATACTGATTTGACATGTTTTCCTAAAAAGGATGATATTTGAAATTAGTAATTCATTTCATTATTTGTAATTTTTCCATTAAATAGATTGAACAAGACTCCAAGATTCTGTTAATTTGTTTAGTATACTCATATCACCTATTAATGGGAAAAATGGCTCCCTATACTTACTAAATCAGATGTGGAGAGAATTAATTAATTCATTAAATACACAGGATTTTTCTGTGTAGCTTTGGTGCTGTCCTGGAACTCCTTTTGTAGACCAGGCTGGCCTTGGACTCACAGAGCTCCACCTACCTCTGCCTCCCGAGTGCTCGGACTAAAGGCGTGTGTTGTATGCCACCACCACTGCCCTGCAAGACAGAATTTATATTGCCAACGAATATTCACTTATTTCATGATGTTTGTAAGGTTTTAGTCTCTGTAAAGTAATTTTGTTTTAAACAGCTATTTTATTCTATTATAAAAAGTGTCTTGTGAGCATAGTGGAGCTGGTGCACACCTTTAATCTCAGCACTCACAGGCAGATCTCTATGAATTCGAGGCCGGCCTGGACTAAATATCAAGAGTTCTAGGAAAGGACAGCCAGGGTGGTTACAAATAGAAACTGTGTCTCAAAAAACCAAAAGAAAAAAAAAAGTCTTGTGTTGTGTTGTGTGTTGTGTGTGTGTGTGTGATATATGTATGTATGTATGTTTGGGTTTGGAGTTGAGCATATGTGTGGGTGTGGATGGGTGTGCATTTGTGTATGCATGAATGTAAAGACCAGAGTCTGCTGTCTTTATCCTTGCTCACTGCCTAATTTTTTTTGAGACAGCATTTCTCACTGATTCTGGAGCTCACCAAATGGTTAGACTCACTGACCAGTTAGATCCAGGGATCTGCTTGTCTCTAAATCTTCAGCACTAGGATTCCAGGTATCTCCCAGCCCTGTTTGTTACATAAAGGCCAGGGTCTAAACTCAGGTCCTCATTCTTGCGTGACAAGTACTTTGCCAACTGAGCTCTCTCTCCAGCCCCTAGTTATTCCATGTCTTACAAGAGTCCTGTAAGCTGGTTATTATTTTATTTACCTTCATTTTAAAGATCTGTACCTTAGAGAGACAGAATGAGTTGCTCAATGGTTTGAGGCCATTTCTAAAACAGGAATTCAGTCTTTAACTCCTGGTTCTTCTTACCTGATGATACTGGTTTTGTAAGAAGCTTTCCATGATTGCTTTCATGCAAAGACATCCATGATACAGGTGAAGCTAAAGGTAAAGACGAGCGTGTACCCACCTTCACACTCTGAGGAGGAGGCCACTGGGGTTCGCACACACATGCCTGGGCACAGGTCGGCAGCTTCTTCAGGAACAGAAGATGGAGTCCGAACAATATCTCCTCTCTGAAAGAAAATGCTCTCTTGCCTGAGATTCCCTTTCCATCATAAAATCATCTTCTTCCAGCTTTGCTATGTTTTTATTACTATGGGTAAATAAAAGATGATTTGATTTGTGACTCAAATCCAGAATCAATTAGTAAAGTACTCAGACACTAGACAGGTTCTCAAAGAGTTTACTGCTCTGAATCAAACAAATACATGGAACATAGTTTATGAAGAAAACTTCCTTTTGAACATTAAAGAAGAAAAACTAGACCCTTGGAATAGACTTGAATATGCTGAATTACTACTGTAATTCAGTGATCACTGCACTGCCTGTCTGTCTCTTTCGTGGAGAAGAGCATTGCTAGCCCCTGCTTTCCCTGGGTGATGGCAGTCAGAGTCCGGTCCGAAGCCACACTTGGTCCCTGTGTCAGGATGATCACACTCCTTGAAGCTCTATGACAAGCTCAGCTGGGAAACGGCTTCCGCAGAGCTTCTGTACTCTCCTCTGCGGGTAGGTGTTTACTCTCTGTTCAGACGCAAATATGGGGTAAACCATGAACTTCTGGAAGCTAGCTCTCTTGCTTCACAGAAGAGAACACAGCCCACATGCAGAGGGACATGGAGCGCTCACCCTAGGAATCTGAACACGAGGAGACACATGTTGATGTCTCTCTTTTTGCGATCATATTTTGGAAAGCAGCCAGAAATTGCTTCAGCTCACTGCACCATGCCCCCTTTGGCTTGAATTAAATCTCTTACCACTTGAAAAACAAACAAACTTTATCTCTGGTATTGTTCACAAAGCGTCTTTTCTAACACAGTGTAGACGAAGATTACGTCTTGCTCATTCACTGGCTAGCTGTGCATCCTGCGGCCTGTCACGTAGGCTTTCTAAACTGCAGTTTGCCACCTCCCATAATCACTTACCTATAGGGTGGTTATGCAGATTAAAGGAGTTGCTGTATGTAGAAGGCGCATCAGCTTCTGACTTGTACCTACTTTTATTTTCTGTGAAACATCTTGGTGACTGATGGAGTTAGACAACATGGCAGGATGAATTATTGAGTGTAGTTTTTCTATCCATTCTGCCTCCACTTTATTTGAATGTAGCGTCAGTTTCTCCCACAAAGGTGGATGCAGTTTCATATCCCACTGACTTTCAATTTTGCTGTGACTGACATTCTTATTTTTATTTTTGAGTTTTAGTTATGTGTGTCCGTGAGTATATGTCACATGTGTGCAAGTACCCAGAGAAGGTAAAAAAAAAAAGGGGGGGGGGCTTCCAGTGCTCCAAAGTTGGAGTTGCAGACAGTTATAAGCTGCCGAATGTGGGTGCTTAGAACTGAACTCTTATATTCTAGAAGAGCAGCGGTACTGATGGTTACACATCTCTCCAGACACTGTATGACTCTTTTATCCCAAGGGCTTTTACCCAACCTAATACATTAGAACGCAGGCCTGACCAGTGCCTGCTGCCTTTCACATCCCACCTGGTCAGTGGAGGAGTTGACGCTTGGAGAGCAGACCTGCCTCAGGCGACTCACAGGCTGCTGTAAAATAAATGCTTCCTTTTCTCAAATTTTGAGATTTTTGTGGTTATGATATAGCGAGCCAGAGTGATAACAATTGGTAACCACATTTTAGTGGCTTTTTAAAATAAGCCATTACATTTTTAAAACTTAATTTATGTGTATAGATGTTTTGTTTGCTTGTGTGTTTGTCCACCACTTGTATACCTGGTGATCACAGAGGCCAGAAAGGGTGTCAGAACTTCTGGCACAGTTATGCATGATTATGAGCCATCATGTGAGTGCTGAGAATTTAACCCAGGTCCTCTTACCGACCAAACTATTTCACCAACCTCCTTGTTGTGTGACAAAACTTTTTCTGGGGAGTTGCAGCACACACACCTACTCTCCAGATAGGAATCCCAGGATAGACCAAAGTACAGATACCAAGGAAGTCCAATTTGGTGAACCAAAGAGTTTTATTGGGGTCATTAATAAGAGTATAGGTGGAGTGGAAATGATTCAAAAATACCTGCATCACCAAAGCCCACCCAGGATAAGTGACAGCTCATGAAACCTGGAGCACACTGTACAGCCTGCAGGCAGCTTAACCAGTTGGAGAGCATCTTTTCCAAGTGACTCACTTAGTCTAAACCTCTTCCAGGCAGCTCAGCTGGTTCCCACTTCTTCCAGGCAGCTGCTCTGATCTCAGTCTTTTTAGCTTGTCTTGTCTGAGTCTTCTTTGCTGCTTTGCTCGGTTAATCTGAGAGGGCCTCACACTTTCAGTGCTTACTCTGGCTGAGTGGGGCCCAGTGGACCTGGTCAGTTTCGGGGATTTCCTGAAGTCTTTTTGAGTTGTTTCCCTTCCCGCAGGTTTGAATGTTTCCATCTCAGAGAAAACTCTTACACAACACCCCTTTAGTAGATTTTTTTTTTAATTTAGTAGATTTTTAATTCAAACTGATCTTTATTAGGAAAAAACAGTCAATAAATTCATATATTCTACCAATAAAGAAACCATATCATTAAGAATACCAGAAGACATATATATATATGCATATACATTTACAATTATATCTGCATATATACCTGCAGATATATATGCAGATATAATTGTAAAAGCAACCAAAGAAATTAGTTTCTTTTTTTTTTCATTTTTTAAATTTATTTATTAAATTTAATTTTACATATCAGCCACGGATTCCTTGTTCTCTCTCCCCACCCCCGTGCCTTCCCCCCAGCCCATCCCCCATTCACATCTCCTCCAGGGCAAAGACTCCCCAGAGGATTGAGTTCAACCTGGTAGATTCAGTCCAGGCAGGTCCAGTGCCCTCCCCCCAGGCTGAGCCAAGTGTCCCTGTATAAGCCCCAGGTTCCAAACTGCCAGTTCATGCACTGAGGACAGGACCCGGTCCCACTGTCTGGATACCTCCCAAGCAGATCAAGCTAATCAACTGTCTTGTTTATCTCGAGGGCCTGATGCAGTTGGGGGCTCCTCAGCTATTGGTTCATAGTTCATGTGTTTCCTTTCGTTTGTATATTTGTCCCTGTGCTTTTTCCAACCTTGGTCTCAACAATTCTCGCTCATACAAACCCTCCTCTTTCTCACCAATTGGACTCCTGGAGCGAATCTGGATGCAGAGATCCACGGCTAGGCCCCAGGTGGAGCTCCGGGAGTCCAATTAGCGAGAAAGAGAGGGTTTATATGAGCGAGAATTGTTGAAACCAAGGTTGGATAAAGCACAGGGACAAATAACCAAACGAATGGAAACACATGAACTATGAACCAAAGGCTGAGGGGCCCTCAACTGGATCAGGCCCTCTGAATAGATCTCTGAAGTATTCGAAGGCCACTGGCCAAACATCCTAATTGTCATGCTACAAACCTCATCCAGTGACTGAGGGAACCGGATGCAGAGATCCATGGCCAAGAAATTAGTTTCTAACTGCCTAACATCACAGGTATTTGAGAATGTGATCAGAACCCTGAACTTCATGCGAACACTACAAACAGTTTATGCACAGTCATGTGTAAGAGGCCATCATACCCTCTGAGTCTGCAGTCCTGATTCAGGATCCCTGGTCTGGCAAACCACAGTGCAAAACACCGAGAGAGCCTGTGGCATGGAAATGTCCTGATTCTCAGAATGACACAGGACTAAAGGCAATGACTTTACTACATATTTTGGTATGTTCACAGCTGATGTCCTTAGACTGCTCAATCTAAAGAATATGTGCATGGTATGAGTATGACATCCTCCATGCCACTGTCCTCTGTTTACATGTATGTACTACACACGCACATCCAAGTGTTCAACAGGAAGAAGAATGGCAAGAACCACATTTGAAACAGTGGGAATGAAAAGAAGAAAAGTGGACCCTTCTACTGAATGTGGGTTGGCCTCATCCGGTCTATGCATGTCTTGAAGGGGCTATCATAGGCTGACCCAAATGAAGGGAATTTTTGCTCCTTGCCAGTCATTGAGGTGAGACATGATCATCTATGATCATCTCCTGACTGCAAACTGGTACTCAAACTGGAACCAACACTATAACCTTTCTGGTTCTTAGATACTTGAACTTGCAATAGAACTATAAATTGAGTCTCTAGGGTACTGCAGATGGCAATCTCTCTCTCTCTCTCTCTCTCTCTCTCTCTCTCTCTCTCTCTCTCTCCTCTCCTCTCCTCTCCTCTCCTCTCCTCTCCAGTGCACATGTATATTCATGTATATTCACTATATATACACACAAATGCACACACACACACATTTGTATGAGTGTATTCTTTGGAATAGAATGTGTGTGAACCAAGGGGTATTGTCATCAGAATATGAATCTATTGAACAAAGTAAACTGAACGACACTCATTTTTCCTAGAATAAGTTTATTCCTATAAAAATTCTGGGAAAAAGCTGTATAGAGGTTGGCCAGACTGTCTGCGGTGAGAGACAAACCAGCAGTGTGGATCTGCAGAATTCTGGTCTTGTTTGTTTTCTATTACCCACGAATAACCTAGAGGCAGTGGAGCTTGATTGGACTACTCAGGTTTTTGTTAAGTTGCTTTTCACATTCTCCTCTTTTCCAATAGCACCTTTCTCTCATGGCACTGGCATTAAATGTAAATACAGTAAAAGACAAAAACCTAACTTGGCCATTTATCAAGTTTCCTTGAAGGTGTTTTATGCAAAGGCAGATGAGAGATAACCTCTAAGCACTGTGTTTCTTCTTTTCCAGCTTTGGCTAGTGTTATTTTTGGGTACAGAATCTTGGAATATTTTATCTGCATTGTTTTGTCTAGGGGCCTCTGGTTTTGTTGCTTGTAAAGACTTCTAAAAATGTGAAACCCAGAATGTTGGAAACGTGCAGACCCCACTGTGCTGTTCAGTTTTCTGATTGGTGTAGCAAGAGATGTGTAGGAAAGAGGAGCAGTGTAACCATTGTAGCACCAGTTAGGTAATAAGATGTTCTAATGGACTAGAGCTCTTGACATCACAGGATTGGCAGGTGCACCGCACACCATCTCTCACTATGAGCAGAATAGTGTGCTGAGTAATCAGAAGACATAAGGTTAACAGCAGTTCCTTCCTGGTGTGGCTCTTTCACATGGAACAGTATCTGTATTAAAACCACACCTACAGATGTAGCTTCTTATTAACTTGTCTGTGAAATCCTTATAAAATTGACAAAGGTGGGATCCCTCTCATGGCATGGGTCTCAAGTTGGCTAAGACCCATTCCACAGGAGAGGGATCCCACCCTTGACACTGCCTGGAGGGCCAGGAACCAGGTCTGGATAGCCCAGAGGCCTAGGATAGAACTAAACATGACTGGTTAAAAAATACCAATGAAAGGAATTCTAATTATTTCTGGCTATACTCATAGACGAGAGCTTAGCATAATGGTCATCAGAGAGGCTTCATCCAGCAACTGATTGAAAAGATGTAGAGATCAACAACCAAACATTAGGTGTAGCTTGGGGAAGC